CTCCCTGTAGCCCCAGCTGTCCTAGAACTCACTATGTAGACCAGGCTGGCCTTGAACTCACAGAGCCTGCACTGTCTCTTGAGAGCTTGGGATTAAAGGTGCACTTGTCACATTTCAGTTTTAAGAATAACTTCACAGATTAGACTTTCTCAAGTTGCATACTTGAAAATATGCCTCAAAATATAAATATTACTAGTTTATACTTACAATTCTCGGTTTCTGATGCCATCATCTTAGTCTAGCCTTTACAGTCCTATTTTTGTGTTTGATCTTTAGTTGATCTTTCTGAGATGCTTGTTTTTTTTGTTTGAAACTGGGTCTTACTTTATAGCCCAGACTATCCTGTACTTTGATAGGTAGCTCAGGCTGGCCTTGAACTCTAGGTTTCTTTCTTCAACCTCAGGCTGCTGGAATAATAGGTGTTTTGCTTTTGTTTTTGAGACTGGATCTGTAAGTATCCAGGGCCTCTTTAACCTTCTGTCCTCCTGCCACTGCCTCCTGACTGCTAGAGTTACAGGTGTATACTACCAGGCCCAGCTTTCTGCTGCTTGAGCTCAGATGTACACTTTAGCAAGTCTACTAAAACTGGATGAGTTATCTGAACTGGAGAGATTCTTCTACCTTGTCCATCATTTTAAACAGGGACTCATACCAGTTTTGTGGTATAGCATATCTTATGCCTTACCTACCAAGTGTTTGTGTAAGATTGGCATAAAATAGGAGTGCTAGAAGGGTCTTTAAAATTGTTGTTATTATAATTTTTTCAGTGTGCTGTGTGACTCCAGACAGGATCCAAAGAGGAGATGTACAGTCTCTCTGGGTTTTTATGGAGAGTTCCTTTACCCTTCTGTGTTAGCCTTTTAAAGTACCTTGTCAACCTTAAAAGGGCACAAGAAAGGGTGGAGCCTTTAAAATTTTTAATGAGGATTATTTAAGTCATTGTAAACGTGAAGATATGCTTTAAATTTCAGGTACCTTATAATCTGATTCTAATCTTTTCAACATTTTTATTTTTAGGAAACTTGTATCATCCATACCTTTAAAGAGGACTTCTATGGAGAAATTCTCAATGTAGCCATTGTTGGCTACCTCAGACCAGAAAAGAACTTTGATTCTTTAGGTAAGATCCTATATTGATCTTCTTTAATATTATTACTGCTGCTACAACTGCTGCTGGTTGTAGTGATAGCAACACATTTATTTGAGCATTTAATGTATGTCAGGCACTATTTTAAGTATCTTACACAAATTAATTCCTTTGTCACACAATAGCCATATGAAGAGTTGTTTTCCCCATTTGATTGATGAGGAAATTGCCTTAGTCTGTTTTTTGTGTGACTGTATAGCATATACTTAATTTAGTTCTGGAGTCTAGGAGTCTAAGCTCATGGCCAGTACTTGGTGAGGTCCTCCTTGTTGCTTCAGTGGGCGGGGAACACAGGTTTAGACCACAGGAGTCCTAGAGAGATGGCCACTCCCTCAATAATCCATTAATCAAGTCTGCCCTTGTGATTGGGCTTTTTTTCATTGTAGATCTCCATAATATTAACCATTAATAACCACACCACTGATTCAATGTTAGGCTGCCTTGAAATTCCCCCCACAGAAGAAATTAGTCCATTACTTATCAACTTAGCCATAGGCAAGCTCTTAGGCTGTGGGCACATGGCAGCCAGATGTTTGCGAAAACATCCCAGAATGTTAGGCTGCCTTGAAATTCCCCCCACAGAAGAAATTAGTCCATTACTTGTCAACTTAGCCATAGGCAAGCTCTTAGCCTGTGGGCAAATGGCAGCCAGATGTTTGCGAAAACATCCCAATTGTTAAGTCCTTATTTCCCTCTGGAACTACTTTGCTCTCAACACTACTTTCTTCCAGGCTTCCTAGTAGGTTCTGCTTACAGCATTCAATCTACATAGTGAGTTCCAGGCCATCTGGGGCTACAGGGAGACCCTGTCTCAAAAAAAAAAAAAAAAAAATTTACATTCATTTGCCAGCTCTGCCACTAACTAGATTTTTGTGACTTCAGTCACTGAATCTGTCTGTGACAAGAGCTTCCTGACCCATGTACACTGGCACTACAGACAGATGTGCCCAGATCCAGAGCCTCTCACCTTTTGAAGCCAAAGGAGGCCAGGATGGCTGATGAGCCAGACACACACCTTTGTCCATCTTCTGTGTGCCTGCAATCACTTCCCAAATGTGTCATAACATGAGAAAAGTTGGGAAGCACTGCTTAAGTTAGCTTATCTGAACTTTTAGTGATCTGTGAGACCATCTATTCCATGCTGTTTTTTTAAAAAGAGTACTTATTTTTCACTGTAAATATTGAAGTTTAAAACTAACTCTGATTTTTAAAAAATCTTTTAAGCAGATGCTATTTAATATATCACTTCAGATGGCATTTTAAATAGATACAACCCTTTGGAGTTGCAATATGGTACTTTATAACACGAGCCATAAAATTGACGATATTGGGCCAGTAAAATGACTCAGCAAGTAAGAATGCTTACTGCACAGGCCTGAGACCTGAGCTGAATCCCAGAACCCACCATGGAAGGAGAGAACTGACACCTGAAAGTTGTCCTTTAACTTCCACATGTATGTTGCGGCACATGTTTGCCCCAAACACCCATCACACGCATACACATACATATATGTAGATGATGAAAATAAATGTAAAAATGTATTAAGTGACCATAATCTTTGCTCTGTGAACTCTATTCGTTTGTAAACTTAAGAATTATACCAAAAAAAATAAATAAATGCATGAGAATGTTTATGTGTGCATTATAAATAGTAGCAATTAAACTATAGTTTTAATAGTAGCAATTAAAACTATGGGGGAATCTACATGTCAAAGAAAGTATGCTAATAAAAATAATAAACTACACTGCCATGAAAATAATTGTTTGGAAGACCATGGAAACAGGATATGTCTATGGTGAGAAAATAAGCACAATACAAAATAGTATGCATACTAGGATTGTCAATGTAAAACCTTTGTGCATGAGAAGGTGATATTCAAAATAAATTCACTGTGTTAGTAGAAGGGTTATGGAATGATTTTTAACTTATTTAAATTTTCTTTAATATTACTTTGCATTTTCAATAAAAATAAAAATAAATCACTGTGTACA